CATGCGATCCCCAGTCGCACTGATTATGATGGACTATCTGTTTTAGATGCTGTTGAGGATAGTGTCACACTGCTTTTAGCTTCCAGGCTCTGGCGAAGGTAGTGGACCGAAGTGTTAGCCCAAGATTCCTTCGTCGCTTGAATTACGTTTTTGTGACTAATCTGATTCATTCACGGTTTTGTTCGCCGCGATAAAAAAGCGCGGGGTGGGTCTGGTGCAGCTCCAACCCGAGCGAGCAGTAGGAGCAAGCAAGCGACGGTCGCACCCTTCGTACCAGTCGTTTTTCACCAGTTGCTGTCCTTAAACTGCTCCAACTACCGGTAGACAACTACCAGCAGTCTGCTACCCTCCTTTCTCTCCATACTGTACCAGCTGTCTGCTATCCTCCTCCTATAACCCTATACTCACCACTCCTGGACGCTGCTGGTCGCTTGTACAGTACCTACACTTCCTTTATACTGTGCCTACACTTCCCTAACCCTCGAGACGCTGCTGTTGGCTGGTGGACTCTGGCAGACGCTGGAGCGATATCTAAAGTTTAGTCGTCTTAGTTGGTGTTACTGGCGGATCCTTGGTGGACGCTTCCGCAAAGTATGAAGGCAGGCTTAGCCATGGGTGATCGCTCTACTTCTGTGCGCCTTCCCATTTCTGCTTATTCTCTAATGTTGATTACGTTTTCGCTGGTAGACCTTGGCATCCATGCAAGCGCCTTACCTTAAGAGGATCGTGGGCGGAGTGTCAAGACTCACTCGTGCACCACAATTCTACAAGCCCGCTTCCTTGCGGAATTATAGGAGAACGTGACTCGCCAGTGGAGGTGCGGACCCATTTGCTTCGCACATTGCAAGCCCCGTCCCGAAGGTGAGTGTACAGTTAGTCTTCCACGGCAGAAGCCGTGACTGATCACAGTGTAGAGGACCTTTAGTAAACATGATGGCGGAATCCTCAGATTTAGGATGTTCCCCTTTCGCGATGCGAACTGATAGATAAAGGCACGGCGCCTCAGCGACGATAGAATGTCTCTGTCGTTGCTGTATAGTGTAGTTCGCTGCGACGGTGGGGCGTGTCAGGCAGTATGAGTGTACCACGGTGAAAAACCCGTTCTCTGCCAGTTGAAGCAGTTACGCGACAACAGTTGTTGGGAAACGAGTGATACGAACGACATGATACAGTCTTGTCACTTGCTCGCTTTAACAGCTGGTGGAGAACGGGTTTGGCACCGTCTCATCCTGCCTGGCACACCCCACAGTCCGCAGTGAACTGCACTGTAAATACTCCTTTATCATCTCGTCTCACAACCGTTATCAGAAGTCTGCATCATTTTGCGTTTTTCTTTGGCATACCCATGGTGCTGATTCTAGTCCTCACACATAGTCTGTCTTGTTTCCGAGCCAACAGGGCAAGTTTTTTGTGTCTAATAGGAGCTCCTGCTACTGTAGAGCTTCGTTTATAATTGATAGGAATTTGCAGGCCTCCAAAGCGGGCGTCATCAGCAATCGACTGGAATCAGCGCAATGCCCACTAACTCCCACTAACTTGAACTTTGATTCTCCTGAACGCTTGTTGTGAGCATAGGCTATTCCTCGGACTATTTAGAAGTAAACGTGTTGGAACTCTAGAGTTCAATGACTAATGCTAACTTGATATGGATAATTTATCCTTCGAAGAGCGGATGGTTACAAGGTTACTTTCTTCGCCTTCATTGACTCTTTGGTTCTGGCAAAACTTTTTGGCTTTTTCGTAATTGTACTTCTCGTCGCTTGTGAATATACTTGTAGATCTCACATACTGGAAGTGACAAAATTGAAGCAATAGTTTCGTTTCCAAACGAGTTGAATTTTTTGTAATTCTATGGCAATTTTGGCTGGCTCACCTTGACCCATCGTTTCTCTCCACCAAATGGAAGGTTGAACCATCGGTCTAACTGAGCTCTGTTAGGGAGTGCGAGAGCGTAAGGGAAGCTCCCTAGTAAAAGTATCCAGAAAAGAACGCGGAATGACATGGGCACTCTGTTGGGAAGCGAAAATGGTTTCCATACCATTTCTCGAGCTTATGTAGTCCTCCTTATCACAATCGCTTGATCATAGATGTTTTTCAACCCGCAGATACACGAGCGGTCGAAAAGTGTACGGGTTTTTGATTTTTGACCATATCTTGGCTAAATTTAATTTAATTTTTTTAATCAAGCGAAAGACTTTATTGAGGCGAGCATTCTATTTATATAATTTACATCAGCAACCCGTGTTTATCAACAGCTATTGACCTCCTGCTACTTGCTATCTCCCGCCTTGTACAGATCGATGAGCCTTTGAAGGCACTTCTCGCTGGATTCACTCCTGAAAGCTTATACTAGACAAGGGCGCCCTTTTTTATACAACTGATTGAGAACTGTATCACCTACCTTGAAATACATACGGTGCACTGAATAAGATCCCACATGTGCCTCCTACCGTAATACCAAAGAACACGTAAAGCAATAATCGATCAATAATCATGGCGACGTACTTCCAGTCATCTCGATACTGAAAAAAGGCCTAATACGAATCTTCTATCGTTACGTTTTTCTTAGAATTTTCAGGAAGCGCTATGGTGATCAGGCACGAACGCTTTGTTTCTCCATTGGCTCAGCCGAAATTCATCAAGTATGGAGACTGCTAAAGAGGGGGTTGACGAAGTAAGGAGATAATCTCTAGCCTCTCTCTTGCTGTGACCTCGGCATCGTTGTATACTTCATTAATGCTGAGCGTGCCTCTGCAAGGTTTCAGTGGAAACATTTATTCAACGGCTTTTAACCTTTTTCAGAAACGGCCAGGATTCCACCGCAAATCGCATGTGACGGCGGATTTGCGGTGGAACCTGGCCTCTGAGAAGACGACCACGTCGAAACGTTAGGCATCGAAATAAATATTCCACCTAAAAACGCAGGCACAGCAAGCATTAACCGAAATGGGCTAGGCAAATGCCATTGAACGAAAATTCGGAGAAGGTTTTGGCCCAGCGCAGGCTGGCGAGAGGCGCAGAGGACCAAAAATCGTTAAAGAGTCCTCATAGAGGCAGGCAATGTAGCGCCCATCCGCCCTGGCTCCGGACTAGCTCGAACTCCGCTGGCGCGAAGAGAACTACAAAGCAATACCCTGTACTGTTGGCAATGACATGGCAACTTCTGATAGCAATCGGACTTTGCTCATTGGATACTAATTAGGCTGTTCGGAAAGAATGCCCGCGTTTGATTTGTCCATTATTTCTCTCCTACGGTAGAAGATTTTCTAAAACAGTTTTGTCTACTAGGAAGAGATTTTCATTGCGCATCTTTTGATATATTTTTGTCTATGTCTACTTTGTTTTTTTTTTTTTCGAAAGTTCAAGTTCGCGGTCGATGCAGCACTCCCTGGCCGAGAGAAAGTTCACAAACCGCGAAGAAGTCCAACTCTGGGTGTCCAACTACTTTGAGTCGCAGCCGGCCGAGTTCTTCGAAAGAGGAATCCATTCTTTGCATAAACGTTGGCAACAAGTCATTGATAGTAGTAGTTATGCTTTTGAAGTAATCTTGGCTCAATTTCGTTTTTATGATAAAAAATTTGTAAACTCGAACGCGCATTTCTTTCCAAACAAGTTAATAGGTTGAAGAGAACGTGCAACAAGTTGACTAAAATTTTGGACTGTATTTCCTTTCAATAAAAGACCATTCTACAGGGCAATGCCACTAATAAGAATTGCCCATATTTCGCACAACTTCTCGATTACTACTGTGGAACCGCGACAGCTACGATGAAGAGGTCTTCAAAGCTGTAAACTTCTGCTTTGAAGAATTGGCGTCGTGGAAAACTGTCCGTCAAATGATGGCATCGTCCTCATTCAGCTTGTTTATTTGACCTAGGCAGAAAAAAAAAAAAAAAATTCATCTCAAGCCAAGGTGGTAGGAGAAACGAGTTCGAGATAGGGGTTTGAGGAACTTGACTCTTGTTCATATTCTTGTTGTGAAACCGAGTAACGAAAGCAGTACACTCCTTATCCCTGCGTCAGAGTAGGCCTGGCATTTGGACATGGCACGGAATTCGTTACTCGTGGAATATTCCAGTCTAGGGACAACTGCCATCTTGTTCTGTGTTGGACAGAGACATGAAAACGATTGTGTCAAGATGAAAATATCTCACCAGAAGCATAGACAGCAGACTTCATATTGGGATTGAAACATGCGGCCACGCCTACCCGATCTCAGGGATTTCGAGTATAGACCTTCGGGTAGAGAGGAAGGCTACTGGCGGGTGATCCTGCACCTGTTTAGCGCGTAGACAATACATGGTCGAAAAATTGAGCGCAGATGGCTGCCTCCCTAGCGGGACATCGCGTTATGTTGAATTTCTGCTTAGCGATAGCGGGTCTCGCTACGAGTTCCTCGAACCGAAAACGGGGAGACGCATGGCAACTATACATAGCATTGATTGCTGTTTGCACAAAGTTACAGGCAGCTTTGCATCACCTTACAAGATGTCGCCAGCGGTGGCTTTTTTGCTATAACAATACCCTCGCTGAGGGTAATGCAGTAAGGGCTACTCAGTTCGGACTGGGTAGCAAAATAAACAATACTCACCTGTTTGTGTTCCTCGTCCTGCTTCAAATGATCAGTAATATATTCGATGGCATCAATCGCAGAAAGTGCATCAGGCGATAATGGGTGATAGGGCGCGGTCGCTGGGTCTCGAGGAATGTCGTTTGCGTTGGTGACAACTTTTATTGCGTCAGTCCTGTAAGATAATGTCAGTATAAAAGAGGATACTCCTTAGAAGAGTCGATAGCTGAACCTTCTATCAGCACTCGGACAAAATGGGTGATGCTTTGCCGCTCTGAAACTGAACTGTCCTATACCGGGAAGTTGAGCCACATCCTCCTTCGGACGGACTAAGAGCTTTCGAAACGCGGATTTTGGTCGTCGCATGCACATCATGAACGCACTAAAACTGGAAAATTGAAGCAGTGCTTAGTGAGGTTGTGTACGGTAACAAGAAAAACGTGGAAAGTTCTACCTCCAAGAATAACTTCCGTACCCATTGGGGCATGCGATGTGTCGTAGGACTACGGAAGTACACATTGATGATAATCACCGTAACTAAGATGGTGATCACATTGAGAACGAACGTAAGCAGTAGGTACCTAGGGGCTTCCAATCCTAAACTTCGTGTATGCTTTCCAATTATTCCATATATTTAAATTTCCTTGCAATGGATCACAATTCGCTGGGCTTGGCTGCCGCGCCTAGGCCAACCAAGCCTCTCTCAACCCTTCGGGGACGGTAACATTGGTTACCATGTTTGCCTCGATACAATCAGCCACGACGCATGCAGCATCGTCTGACCACTCGCAAGTCATTGTTATAGGCCACTTTATTCTGTTATTCCACTAAGCCACACGCATTCTGAATGGAAGTGATATGCGTTGCCGTAGTCCTTCAAAAGGTAACTAATTGGTAGATTGACTAATATTCTCAGGCAGCTTCTTTTTTCTTTAATGATCTTCTTCTTTGAAATGAGTTCTTGTCTTCGCCGGCGCTCCGTTTCAACTAAGTTGAGAAGAATGGAAAGCTTCCAGTGACCTGGGCTGGGATGATCCGCATTGTCCCTCGCGCATGACTCGGTGTCAGCAAGACCAACTCAATCGGAAAAGCTCTCAACTCAAGGCCTAAGTAGCGACCATCTCTACGGCAGCGACAAGAATACGGGAGTGCACAAGGTTATTCGGCAGCGTATGAACTTCGCAGACAGCAGCGACGATCGCGTGCGATTCGCGGCGACCTCAGCGACCTCAGAGACGATCGCCGCGATCGCCGCGATCGTCGGTACATGGCAGAGCGCGCCCCAACGCTATTACTTGCGCTCCGAAGGCTTTTGGGGAAAAGCGACTCAATTTCATGCTTTTTTCCCTTTAACTGCAATTTCCTTAGATACTGAAGCTTGGTTACACAAAGAAAGGTGAACCAACTTAACGGCTTTTTTGTTTTCACATTTCGTTTCTTGAATTCAGGATAGAAATGAGCAAAAAGCGTGATAGCTTCATTTAGGGTAGGTTTTTATTGTTTCTTTTTTCATTCGTCGAGCTTATACATGAGGTTATAAAGTTTTCACTGCGTAAAGATGATTAGCGTTTCGGTCCTAGCAAGAAGTTTCTTTGTTTCTTTTTTTTCGTCGTTGTTTAAACTCGACTTGTAAACTATAAATGTTTTGGAAGTAGGAACAGTTCAGACGATAGGAACTTTTAAGTTCTTGCATAAATTGACCAATAAAAGCAAAAAGAAACGAAAAGAAGCTCACCCAGGAAATGGAGTTGGCCTCATCCCGACCCAAAAGAAGTGAAACCTCCTAACCTCATATTCCAGATCCGCTTATGTAAGTAAGTTCGTAAGTTACGTTAGTAAGCCATTATTAAGAGAAGAAAAGGTCTCAAGTAGGATTTCCTTATTTATCAAGCGAGCAGTCCATAATAGCGTTGGGGCGCGCTCTGCCACGTACCGACGATCGCGGCGATCGCGGGCGATCGCCGAGGTCGCCGCGATGCACGCGAACTAATGAAAGCTGCCTTACCCAACCCTGGAGGAAGAAAACAGACTTTTACATCTGCTGGTCCAAGCCAATCGTTATCGTTTATCGTGGTCCTAGGTGCTTTCGAATCCAAATACTATTGTAAGCACAGAAAGGTGCCTGTGAGCTTTTTCGAGAGAAGATTGTTCAGGACCCGATCCTTTCTTGACTAGATATTATGATTAAAAAGCGGATTACTTACTTGGCCATCAAAGAAATAGTAACCGAGGTGGGTGGAAGTATTTTTGATACGAGGCAGCAAGAAGACGACAATCGAAAGCAGCACGTAAGTTGTCAAAGTCATCTTTTCACCTAGATGAGAGATCGAGAAAAGCAAATGTTCTCAAGCTCACGGTTGGGTACAAAAGTTAGGAACTACAGGTATCATCTCATTACTACAAATATGGAAACCATTTGTGTAGTTCTGTAGAAACACTTCATTACTCTCCGCTGCGAAGCTTACCTGAGTCAGTTGGAAGAAAGAACACTGCCATACTCAGAAACGTCATCAGCACAGTAGGAATAATCAACACAGTAGTGTAGAACAGAGTTTTTCTCCTAAACAGTGAAAGGTGCTGGTTCGACAACAGACTCGACCTCAGCAATATTGCGGTTAATGTTGCGAGTGCGCCAGCGGCCAATGTTATCCACAATTGCGAGTGCGTGCGATTGCTAGAGACTACCGCAATTTCAGGTTTGTTAGTTTTATTACCCGATAGAAGTAAGCTGACGTTATAGCACAGTCCCGCTGAATACGCAACGAGTTACCAATACCGCCCCTAATTTTTGGAAAAAAGGCGGGATTAATCCGCCGGAAACCGCCGCAAACCGCCGCAAAGCGCCGCACTGCTATAACTCCTTTCAAAAGAGCTCAAATGAAAAGCCAGGCATACCGTTAGATTCAGCTCTACGCGGCGAATCCAACGGTACAATACCGCTGAAATTTCTTGGAAAAGAAATGGCAAAAAACGCAGGTCCGCGTTTTTTCCGCTTTTCGGCTCTTTTTTTGGTTATAAACTCGATTTGTGTAAACTTTTCTTGTATAGAACCTATACTGCTAGACTCAGCTCGTCGGAAAAAAGTTGCTATAAAGCTGGCAATCACTAAAAACTGAAAAGTCGAAAATTTGAACTGTGCTTCCTATCGAACTACCTGAGGACACTCGTTAGCGAGCGAGTCTCGCTATAATTGTAACCAGAGGGTAAACGTAGGAATTAAATCATTGTGGAATCAAATAACGTACTGTATCGCGTGAGAAGTGATCAAAAACTAGATAGTTGTGTTTCCCAAATGCTGCTGATCATTTTGGTGCCCATTTTCCCGAAAATTGAGGGGTTTCGCTCGATCTCACTTCCGGACGATCCCGTCCCGGAAAATCCTGCGAGGCTTGTGTTTTAGTTCGGACACACATGAGCACAACGTGCCTAATGTATGGATCCCTGTTTTCCTTAATGTTCGCGACTTTCAAGAATGAAGTCGAAAAGAAGGGTTTTTTCAACACTTGAAATGGGCACTTCGTGCGATACTAGAACAATTGCTCGATTTTCAGCGTTTCCAAACAGGGTTTCCAGCGCTCTGAGTGGCTCTACGAGTTCCATAAGGGAGCTTTATACAGTACGCCCTGTGCTTTCAGACAACTTAGGGGAAAGTAGCGGCATATTTTAGGCTGGCAGTTGTTATCGGGTGCCAACTCCAAGACCATTTCAAAGCAAATTTCACATGTTTTTCATAATTTGAAAATTCCAGTCAAAGTTACACCATTCAAATCCCTATGAAAAATGCTATTCATTTATATGAAAATCACCTCGTGGAACTTTCTACAACCTTTCCCGTTTTTCACGGCTATCTGCCCTGTTAGCGGTCAATCGACCTCCTAAGTAGTTATCCCACCAATGTGTCAGAGCACTGCATCGATCAATCTTAGTAATTTCATCGACCAACGTGGTCTGTTCTGTCAACTATTTCGCAAATGTTTTGTGAGGACTGCCACTCTAGAGAATGTTTCTCTTATTTCAAATTTGAGTTTTCATCAAAATTTAAAAATTTCCGTATTTCGAACCACAAGCTCTTCCATCATGAATCAATATTCGTTGCTCTAGTAACTCTGTGTACTATGAATCGTCCAACTAAATTCTTGTACCTGAAGACAATCGAATGGTTTCACGATGTGCAGAATTATCAATTGCTCACCTGTTTTGGTCCGGGTATCGAAATAGTTTTGTACTTACAAGTTATCCTGGGTATCTAATCCTGGGTACCTACCGTTTCCACACCACACACAAATATATTGTTAGTTACTTTATCCATTGTTATCGCCTTTACGAAACCTCAGCCGATCGCAGCTGTCGACCTCGGCGGTACATCCGCTAATCACCTTAGGACCTTTTTCGCACATCATCAAGTGACTACAAGCCGAATGTGCTCGAGATTTTACAACTTGTTTGAATGAATTAGGTCCCAATGCGAGGCTCGAATCAAGTATTCTACACAATGTTTGCTATGATTCTATTCGAAGTTCAGGGTGACATTCGGAGGATTTTTAAACTCTTCAATGCCAGAGCCTTATAACGAAATGAATCGCTTGAAGCAGTAGAGCATAGAAAAATCTGCTGCATCCCGTTATATTACGCAAGTTTTATGGAGGAAATGAAGATAAATCAATGGAAGAGCTTGTGGTTCGAAATACGAAATTTTTAGAAATTTTGATGAAAACTCAAATTTGAAATAAGAGAAACATTCTCTAGAGCGGCAGTCCTCACAAAACATTTGCGAAATAGTTGACAGAAGAGACCACGTTGGTCGATGAAATTACTAAGATTGATCGATGCAGTGCTCTGACACATTGGTGGGATAATTACTTAGGAGGTCGATTGACCGCTAACAGGGCAGATAGCCGTGAAAAACGGGAAGGTTGTAGGAAGTTCCACGAGGTGATTTTCATATAAATGATAGCATTTTTCATAGGGATTTGAATGGTGTAACTTTGACTGGAATTTTCAAATTATGAAAAACATGTGAAATTTGCTTTGAAATGGTCTTGGAGTTGGCACCCGATAACAACTGCCAGCCTAAAATATGCCGCTACTTTCCCCTAAGTTGTCTGAAAGCACAGGGCGTACTGTATAAAGCTCCCTTTATGGAACTCGTAGAGCCACTCACGCGCTTGGAAACCATACCCTGTTTGGAAAAAGCTGAAAATCGAAGCAGTGCTCTAGTATCGCACGAAGTGCCGCATTTCAAGTGTTGAAAGAAAAACCCCTCTTTTGACTCATTTGAAAGTCGCGACAATTAAGGAAACAGAGATCCCATAAATTAGAGCACGTTATGCCATTGGTCCGAACTAAAACACAGCTTGAAGATTTCCGACTTGGATGGTCCGGAAGTGAGATCGAGCGAAACCCCTCAATTTTCGGGAAAATGGGCACCAAAATGATCAGCAGCATTTGGGAAACACAACTATCTAGTTTTTGATCACTTCTCACGCGATACAGTACGTTATTTGATGCCACAATGATTTAATTCCCTAGTTTACAAGCCTCTGGTTACAATTATAGCGAGACTCGCTCGCTAACGAGGTGTCCTCAGGTACTTCGATAGGAAGCACAGTTCAATTTTCGACTTTTTCCAGTTTTTTAGGATTGCCGAGCATTAAACAAGAACTCGACGAGCTGATTCTAGCTGATAGGGTTCTATCGAGAAAGTTTCATAAAGCAAATGCGAGTTATGACAAAAAAAATAGCCGAAAAGCGGAAAAAACGCGAACGCTGGCGTTTTTGCCATTTCTCCAAGAAATTCAGCGATATTATACCGTTAGATTCGTCGCGTAGAGGGCTGAATCTGACGGTCATGCTGGCTTTTCATTGAGCTTCTTTTGAAAGGAGTTATAGCAGTGCGGCGCTTTGCGGCGGTTTGCGGCGGTTTCCGGCGGATTAATCCGCCTTTTTTCCAAAAATTAGGGGCGGTATTGTATGTTGTTAAATATGAAATAGATTTAAGGCGTATTTAGCCACTAGGCGTGGCGTCCATCACTTACCACGCCTGCTCATACCCGAAAAGCAGTTACTACTGTGTCCGCGGGGAGAATTGTCACCGAGCACAGTTCATCTGACTATCTGAGTCAGCAACTAGGATACTGATTTAGCCCGTCCCATGAAATAAGGGCGGCGCTGTTTAATCGACGGGGGGGCACTTTGCATTTAATGCTTCCTGGTTCCGGTTTACAAATCTCACTCTGGTAAAACTTGTGAACGCTTGTGAAGCTGGAGCAAGATCGTCTAGCCACCATCCTAAAACGTGTCAACTCGAAAAAAGGGTACCTAGATGGGTTGGCAAATCTATGAAAAGCAGAATGCCCCCCCCCCCGTCGATAAACAGCGCCGAAGTAGGCTTTAAATGTAGTTAACTACACCCTTTGACAGTAAGGGACCAGGAAATCATGCATTGCGCCAGACACACGTCCTTTTTCACGCAACTTCGTCTTACAGTAGATGAGGACGCTGAGAAACGGCGCGCGCCGAACTGAAGCGTTTGAGGTTTTCGCGGTGTGCTAGGGGGAAGGAGCTTCGACAAGACCAATTCTGAAAGTAAACGCATTCTCATCCTAGGAGAAGTAGCGGCATTTCCTAACAGGCAACAGGCTGGACTTCGTATCTTATACTGGATCAGCGTACAAAAAAATATACCATGAATAGTAGATTTGTGTGCAAGTGAATGATAATGGATTGAAAATTCTCTCAAAAACCCAACAGAAATAGCTTCCTCACAAAGAACGATAGATATTGCTTGGGGTGGGCGGTGGCGGCCAACGGAGGCATTTGGCCACACTCTCACTCAGCCCTTCCACCAATGTCGTTACTGACAAGCGCCCGTCCAGCAATCATGCCCACTGCCTTTGAACTGATGGATTACTTCATATCACTTCGAGCGAAAAAATTTCCTGACCCGGAGGGATACGGTACGGTTGTCTATATATCTAACCCCCTGCCACCTAATGACTTTATCTGGTTTTATGTTCATGGCAACCTAATCAGTTAGTTTTATTCATCCTGAAAATCTGGCTTGTAAGTAGAAGGAGTCTCGAAGAGGGGTGATATGATTTCCCATCGCTTCGTTGAAATCGTATATCTTCCAACCTGATTCTAACTTGGAACTTCTATTCGACTCCGCTTGTTCACCAACGACGCAGGAGCGTCCATGACATCCCAAATGGAAGAAGGCGCATATTCAGACAGATCCACCCACTCAGCTTGTTCGAACTCAAGTTTAATCTCGTTCTCGTTGTACTAGATCAGTGCTGATCAAGCCTTCCAGTAATCGAGAAAAACCAATCAATACAGAATGTACTCACCGTCCAGGATCCAAATACTAACGTGCACACCTGCTCATCAAATGGGAAGTACTCCACGTCTAAAATGGTACAGTCAGCCAGCATTTTTCTGATGAATCATAGAATCGATTCGTAGAAGTTATGAATTATACAGTCTTGATTCTGTGCGAATGCTGGCGCCTTCCAGGGAACTGGATTAGGCGCGGTGGCGGCCCTTTCTCCACCAGCTGATGAGGCGTGCAAGCACCGAACTCATCCTGCTGTCACGCCCCAGCATCAGCGAACAGTACTGATTAAATTACAAGCCGTTAATGATGTTCTTATTAGGATTTACAAATAGTTAAAGGATTACAAACCGATGATACATGAGCTTTTGTAAATTGCTGGAGGTACCCATAGCATGTCACCATCACAGTTTATGACAACATTACACATGAACGATACCTCGTAGTTACCATCGGCGCTTAAACACAGACTTTTTTAGAACATCGCAGGTGAACAGTGCCCAATTAATAAAAGAAACCTTTCTTGGGTGCTAAAGAGAATAATGCTCTTCTATCTCGAATATGGGGAGGGCGTGGTTGCGTACATCATTTGAGCATAGCGTAGAGTGGGTCTTTCATTGGGTTTTTCCATTTGAGACAACTGCCATTTCATCTTGTGACAAGAAAGATTTCGCAGCCCTAAGAATCACGGCCACCGTAAGCCGTGCGCTCAGGGCACTTCGTTGGGGAACCCCCGACAGGGAGTGGGATCGTATATGG